GCAAAATATAGTGAACTTTTCTAATTTTGTGTCAAAGTTTGGGATTTGATTCATTTAACGTGAAATGAGATTATATTTCTATATTAATATGTTTTTGTGTACGTATGGGGACATAAATCCAATATACTTTTCTGAAAGTCAACTCTGTATTTTGTTCATAGAAGAAGTAACACTTGAGGACTTCTTCGAAGAGTAGCTTTTCATTTCAAAGCACTTTTGTCTTGACCACTAAAATCTCGGATTTCCAGATGTAATTAACCTGGTAATACTCGTAAGTGCATCAGTGGAGCAATCCTCAATCGAATATCTCAAGTAGTGCGGTATTGCTTTGGTATTGCTTTACCTCATTAGGCGATTGGTCCAGAAAACTCTTGCCGTTTTTTCAACCAATCGGATTCAAAACTGAAACCAAACGCGACTTTGATCAGTCATGATTTCCCGCACTAGGAGCTATTTGCGTTTTTTCACTCCGAGTTCTCCTTGGCTACTCACGAAAGTTTTTCCTTGCAACTGATTGGATGTTGTGATTAGTTGGGCTTTAGTTGTTCACACTCAGTGGAAAAGCGCTCTGTATCACCATTCAAACGAGGGATAAAGAGTAAACTTGACAACCTCGTGGCTTTATGATGTTATTTTGATGTAACACCGAATACTCCGGGTTAAGTTACAAAGAAATGTATACCAGCAAGTAAAATTATGAATCAAATATCAGTACTGTCAGATTTAATCAAGAAACGAAACCTACGATTTTGAAAAAAGTATACTTAAATACGGCGAGATAGAGAGTAATCCAAACTGAGTAGAATGCTAGCTATTTTGCCATTGTACGGACATAGAAGACACTAGACAATTACTTGTCTAAGATCCAAGATATGAAGACACGTCTAGCCCTTTTCTCAATTAGTCATGCAGTCACTTCCGTTCAAATCATTTCTGACATACTAACAAAACGGAACAACCTGAAAAACGCTGAAACAAAGGATTGCATGAACGTCGCATTATTCCAGTGTTAGCTACCTTCGGTTAGGCATTTCTTTTATCACCCTACATCACCCTCTAAAAACAATTAAATACCCTAGAGATTGAAGGAAGGTGACATAATGGGGAAACTGTCTCGCGAGGTTTCTCATCGGAAACTGTAATCGCAATCACAAAGGGAGCGGAACGAACAGTTTTCGTGGAGCACGTTCAAAAGAGGAACTTAAACCAACGCAAAAGGTGTGGGATGCTCGAGGAGTCTGGTGAAATTTCTATATTTGGAAGCTTAGAAATTCTCTTTCCCGCGTTTCCAGGGAACCGTTTCAAACATCAAAACACAGAAGTTTTGATAGTTTACAAGCACTAACTGACATCGCGCGGGTCATAAAAAATCAGCGAGAAAATTAACAACATGAGACTTGAGTGATCATCATGTCTGACACATGGGTAAAACGCAATCATTATGACGGCTTTTGAACTACGACGGTGAACTGAATGGCGCGATTTTGTTTGTCATCAACAAGTTTTGATTATAAAAGACGCCTTTCGCGAAAGACATATATTTTACGATCTCCACTAATACTGGCATGCTGTGCGTGTGGACGAATATCGTCGCCACGTCCCCGTAAAGAAACTAAAGGCTGGTCAGCCAGACAGCAATAATACAATGAGTTCCGGCAGTTTATAAATTGTACGTCTTTACCCACCACAAGCCGAACCCGGATTTCACTCCACAATAGACACACAGCCTTTTTACTCACTCGGGCTTTCCGAAGAAAGCGCCCGAGGTATAAATTCGGCTTGGCTTTTTTTCTTTTTTTTTCTTTTTTTGCGTTCAGTCACAAAACGCAGTTCCATTAAAGCGCATGCGTGAGGTATACGCGCATGCGTAGAATGAACCCTAGAGCGTATGGCTAAAGCACTTATTGAAGCAATGGCTGCCTTTGTGGACGCGAAAGAAATTCGATAGCTATTACGCCTAATGCATATATAAAGTCACACACCGTTCGCGGTAGACCCACGCAAAAACTTGTGGAGCGTTTTGGGAACGGGTCGGTCCGCGAACTTTACGATAGATCAATTTACGAGCGATACTCAACGAGTGAACCATCTATCGAGGAATATCAAGCGAAACCTGCTATATCAAACGAGGTATCTCATATTATGTTTACATGTAAACACAACCGTGTATTTAGATGTGATCGAGAACCCAGTAGAATACCAGGAGCTACTCTGAAACGTCCCAGAAGAAAGGGCAGAAAACTGAAGGAATTGGTCTGTAATATGGGCTTGAAAACAATCGATTCTCATGCAAGGGATATTTATGGTAGAAGCCATCCTCAAGTTACTCTTGTGCTGCTTTGAAGTACCATCACTGAATAGCTTGATACATTATTTTCAGAGGATACACTGAACAATGATATATTTAAATTGAAAAGGGTTAAAATTAATAAAGTTCAAAATATTACCCTTTTTCAGAGTCATGTCTGTGAAACCAGAAAGTTCAAAGTGAGTTTTGCTGTGGCTGTCTATTCACTCTGCCACTCCATAGTAAAATCATGTAGTTATATATTATTTTGATTATTGTCTAGTACCATAACAACATTCATTACACTCCAGCAGACAAAAATAAACACAAGTAGACTTAAAAATTCTTTTTCTTTGGCAATCGTAGCTGGATAAGAAATAGCACACAAACTGCAGTTACAAACATGACAGTAAAACGCACGTTGGAAAACAAGATTAGTAAACTTTACTTGACGTTTCGTATGTTTCGACATACATCTTCAGAAGTGACAGTTAATAATACACGTGGCGACTAAGTTTAAATTTAAGATAAGTAACTAATTAACATACTTATCTTAAATTTATCATCTTTAAGAAGAGAAAACCAGGATTAAAAAAAATCGCTTAAATCAAGTTAAATCGGTAAAATAACGACACCAGGAGCAAACAACACACGTATGGAATAAGGTAAGCCATTTTTATTGAATATTTTCACTTTTAACTACCTCCATGGATATCTAGTAGAAAATCCCATACAAATCCTTATAAATCGATATGCCATATTGTGTCCCTTGTGTGGTTCATATAGAGAGCTTGGGCTACCTGTGTTGGCATCTATAGGAACCTACTCCTATATGGGAATATACAAGGGCGTAGCCAGGGGGAGTCCTGGGGTGCCCTTGACGCCCCCTTGGTGGGTCTTCTTTAGAGCAAGCAACCTACAATATTCAGGTGGCGAAAACGCCATGACAATATCTTGGCCGTAAAGGCCATTCCCCCCCCCCCGCCTTTAAAAAATCCTGGCTACGCCCCTGATACATTGTTTTGATTGTTGTCTAATACCACAACATTCATTACACTCCAGCAGACAAAAATAAACACAAGTAGACTTATTCATGACCGGCAATGACAAAATTGCGTGACGACAGTAACGATGGCAAAAAGGCAGTCCCAAAAAGATAACTCCAGATGTGCGATATTGAAAGCCCGAGTTCACACAGCTATGCGTCTAGTTCTATAAATAAATGTTTCATCAAAACGGTGATAAATCTATCATTCGTTTACGTTTACGTTGATTAATCCTTTTTCCTCGTTCAAAAGAATTTTTAGCTTAAAAAGAGGCGTTGAAGAAAAAACCGGTATAGCGGTATCATGTTCGCCGCTTTGGAGTGATCTGTACGGACAAATAGAGATACACCTTTAATGATGTCACAGGCCACATGAGTAGCCTCGCGTACGTAAACACTGTACAATTTACCATTTCGGGTCACCAAAATATTTTGATATGTAACCTTGACTTCGATACTAAAATCCCGCACTATCAGCACAGTTGTTTTGAAATCCAGTGTTTATATCACGGTTTTCCTATGGTTTGTCTCTGTGATTGTTTCAGAATATGATATCGGATGCTTGAACTCGAAAATAGTGCGGGAGTTATACTTAGAGATCACGTGAAATTTTGAATTATTGTAATCGGTAGTTTTGTCGGATTACAAGTTTAACTTCAATGGGGGAAAATAAAAAACGCTTTGAAAAACAGTTGGAAAACTCGCAGATTTCAGGGATCGTTAATTTGGAGGACCACCGTCTTTCTATAACGAAAAAACTTCATGGTCTACCTTAGCTTATCGGTAGCCAACCTCAGACAGGAAGAAAATAAATGTCTGGTAAATGTGTATTAGTCTTGCGGGAAAAATATCTAAATTTGACTGGGAAATTAGGTTAAAAACGTGCTTTTTCTACGACGGGGCTCCCTTTCTATTTCACTCAATATTCTCTTTAAAAACGTCGCTATATATATATATATATTGTCTTTCAACACCGTTGTAGTATACAGGTAAACAATACGTAAACCACTGGCCAAGGAAAACGGATATAAAGAACATTTCTTCTTGATGAGCTAATATAGAAAACGCCATATACTTATGGATGTTTGTAATGCTGTGTTCATGATCAGTGCCACCGAGACTTACGGAAGTACAGGTAGAAAAGACAAAACCTCCTAATGAAATTTCCGCTCCTTGTTACGATCGTCCTCCTTGGAATGTTCCAGTCTCAAGAAGGTTGGTAAACTCCCTAGTCTTTTAGCTTGCTTGCAACTTGTTAAGTAATTAGATTACTAAAACTGGAAGACGACAAATTCCTCAGAAAACTCATCATTAAAATTTTGCTTATACAAGTTGCTTTGCAACTAAAACGCGATGAAACACATAATTAGAATTGCTTGATCCAAAACGATGGAGTTTATCTTTGGAAAATACTCATTAATTTTTGTCTGATTCTAGTTCCTAAGAATCACATGGAAGAAGAAACGAAAAGCGAGTAACATGCATTTGGATTGGAAACACACGTCGCGATAAACAACAGATCGTCCTGACTTTTCTATAATTTTTATTGTTGTCATGCATAGGTGGCCATCGAATTCTAATTTTACATTTGAGCAAAGAACCCGAATCGGCAAGGGGCTTGAATCCTGTGTCTGGGAACTATTTTTCTTTGTCCTAACTTTGTTACAGATGCAATTGTTGTCTTCTTTGTTGTTTTAGTTTTTGGCTGTGGCGGCGGAGGCAAGCCAAGGCGAACGCCACCGAGGCGAACGCCACCAACACCAGGTAAAACTTCTGGTTCCTATTTATTTTTCCGTAATGTGAAACTGGATTTTTTTTAAAAAAAACTGTCTTCAAGTTTTTGAGGTTTATGGGCTGTTGAAAAACTTGAAACACAAGTATACTTCTATAAGACTCTAGGAAATCTCTCAGTTTCCGCGTACATGATGAGAGGCAAAAGTCTTGACGCACTTCGAGGTTTTTCTATCCGGTTTCACTATAAGTCTATTAACATTCCATTACAAATGCTGCAACCTGATTGGCTACGCTACAGGCCACTCTATATCGCCGCGTGCATGTCTGTTCGGTAACAGATCGCAGATGAGGTCAAAATGTAAGAACAAAAAAGTTGCACTCGAGGCGCAGCGGTTGAATAGACTTTTTGTACTAAACTAAACCAAGAAACACAACACCTCTAGCTACTAATCCATAAGGCGTACACTCTTCTCATTTTTCAAAAGAGACGCTTGGAGACTTGTCAGATGAATGTAAATTAGCAATTTTTCTTAATAAAGAGGCGAATAAGGATCCGACTATGAACCCCTCTACCTGACATAGCTACGCCCCTGACCCTCGTTACGATGCATCTCTCATTCCCCTCTTTCCTGACCAAGGTTAATGTTTGTCAAACTGATCAAATTTCATGGTAACTTCCAGGTGGCAGCGATTGTTTTGCGCAGATTTGTTCCAGTAATCCTTCCAACCAAATAAGAGGAACAGATCGGTGGGGCAGTGGTGCGTATGGAGCAGGAAGAAGCGGGTATGGCGAACGTGTCATCAGATACGTCAAATCCTAAAAGACATCTTTTATACCCGGTTTGGGTCTTTCTAAATTTCAGGGGGGAGGGGGAAGGAGATCTTAAAGCAGTCGTCACCTGGTTTTTTTGATAACCGATCAACAAAAATACTGGGCCAGCAGCATACAGAAATCATCCGTTTCAGCGGTAGATATAACTGGATCGGCGCCAATCATATCGTGAAGAATTCAGCAATTCTGAGGTGCCCTCTAAAATATCCGATAAAACTTTAAACTTAACAGTGAATTATACGGTAATTGAAATAATCACTTTCAGAATCCCTGGCTGATCTCTGGGCTTTAAGTCTGTTAATATAATGCTGCACGATTACTCGATATTTAGACTTTCTACGGGCGTGTTCGTTATCTTGTCCAAGAAAGTTGTATTTTTTTTCCACTTCAAAACCATTTGTTCTTTAAAAAAAATTAACTATAGAAATTGAAAATAATGGCTCTCTCCTGTTTTGAAACTTGGTATGAAAATTAGCATCAAAACTCAATTGTCTAATTATTTACGTTTCTTAAGGTAACTTAAACATTAGCTTAATACACTTTCTCTCCATCTCCTTCTGTCTCTATCATTAGTAAGGCACCAGGTGAGATCTCATGAGCTGACAGGTTGCATTTACAAAAAGATGAAAACTACTTTTTTTGTTGTATTGCAAATGTAGGGGTCCTACCCAGAGAGGCGTTGATATCGTGTGTGCTGTGAGTTCTCGTGTGTACGCTCCATTTCCCGCGACAGTTGTACGTAAACTTACTGTTTATAGTTCATCCAGACATATCGGCAAGCCCTACAACACTGGTCTCGTCCTTAGGGGAACTGGAGCCTGGGAAGGTAATGAGCCAAAAGAAATAGAATGTAAAAGTACAAAAAAAAAGTAAATCAGCACGATCTATTCCTTTTATTACAAGGAAGTTGTGTTTTAAAATTTTCGGATTTCCTTGCATGCGTTACTATTTGAGTACAGACACTACCTTGGCTCTTACTTAAGTTAAATTTTATTAGGAGAAGTTAATCGGACGGTTCTCGTTGTAGAGACCCCCAAAAATTTTCATTGCCTGGGTCTCGTATGAGTTCATGCGTAGCTCATTTGGTAGAGACACCCGACTGACTAAAGTATTATTGGTTCGATTTCTCAAGGGAGCTCTCACATTTTTCTTTGTCCAGCACTTGTGATTATGATTAATCAGTCCATTCTTTACACACAAAAGTTTTTCCTTCCAGTGCAAAAACAGTCTCCCTCCGTTACTTTGTTTTCCAGGTTATGAAGTGAAGATGTTTTATGTAGAGAAGACAGTCGGCGATGGAAGAAGGGTAAATCCAGGGGCTTCTGTTGGTACCATGACTGACAGGGCCTCTGCGGACCCTGGTATGACAAATCATGTACATGTGGAGCTCTACAAGGACAGGAAGCTGATGGATCCTACTTCTTTTGTCACATGTTAAAGTAAGCGCTGTTATTTTTCCTTTTGTTTTCGCCAGAGGGTAGCAAAAATAGAGGAACGAATGAATATGACCTCAAATGGACAAATGCACTGATACTTACGAATTCAATCAACGAAAGCGGAAGACAGTAAACGAAGGAACGAAAGAAATCATAAACGAGATCAACCGACCAAACAACAAAAGAACTTCTTGTGAACAAAGATGTATTATAACATAACCAAAGTAAAGCGCGCGCTCTGATTGGTCAATTTAGCGTTCCCCATTTGCCCATGGGTGTACGCTGCTGACGTGAGCAAATGCAAAGACTATTTTTCCGCGCGCGCTTGTTTTTTCTGGTCGCGTAAGATTTGTTAAATAAACGGGAACTCTTTAGCTACAATGTATCAATGTTATGTTATAAAACAAATGGTAAACACCACAGCGTACACTATTGAGTTATGGATGCACTTGGGAGGTTTGCTAAGCACTCAAGAAGCTAGAGTCGCTCTCGGCTATCGCCTCGAGCGACTCTTACGCTTCTTTCGTGCTTAGCAACCTCCCGCGTGCATCCATAACTCAATAGTGTACGCTGTGGTGTTTACCATTTGTTTTATAACATAACATTGATACATTGTAGCTAAAGAGTTCCCGTTTATTTAACAAATCTTACGCGACCAGAAAAAACAAGCGCGCGCGGAAAAATAGTCTTTGCATTTGCTCACGTCAGCAGCGTACACCCATGGGCAAATGGGGAACGCTAAATTGACCAATCAGAGCGCGCGCTTTACTTTGGTTATGTTATAATACAA